AATTATTTTAGTCATTAATACTTATTATTACATAAAGGGAAAATTTCATATAGAACTCTAATTTCTCATATTATTTCATGGTAGACCCTCATTCCATTTTTCTTTCAAACGCCATAAAAAAACCCCTTAAAGATTTCACCAACCCTAAAGATTTGTAGGTGTTAAAATTGATCTTAAAGTCATCATAGAGATTTCCATCACCAAAAGTACTTTTTGGATGAGGATTGAGGTGAGATTTTTTTTTGTTTTCACTAAGCCTAAACCTTATAGAAACCTCATCTATAAAAAATAAAATAAAAAAATAATTTAAAAAAAAAAAAAGTGAAACATTATAAAAGTCATATACTCTAATGAGATTCTTGGAACAAAAAAAAAAAGGTGCAGTTGGCATACAAATGCATCCGTAGGTGTAGAGGTAAGGTGCACCTTCAAATTTTATAATGATATATAATTTTAATGTAAAATGTTATTAAGATTATCTCAAAATCTATTTTTATATCTAATTATAAAATTTTAAATTTCAAAAATGGTTAAAATCAATAAGATCTATAAACATATAAAAATGTTGAAAATGGACAGTGTAGATAATATATTGTAAAATGCAATATTTATGAGATTTAAAATCTTTTTATTTTTCAGTCATACATCTCCATGTTGAGATGATCAATCAAACTGTTTTTCAACATTAAGAATACCTTTTCCGATGGATTTTCTAAGGGCACCCGTAAGGTAGCATCCTTATATAAACTTTTTCCCAAAAAAGTGACGGACATTAAAAAAGGTTATGTACTCTAGCAGGTTTTGTACCCCGTCTGCATTAAAATTTATACCTTAAAGCTAATTAGGAAGCCATTAGAGCAAATCTAACTTAAATTTGAAGTATTAATATATATAAACATCTCCTCAAAATTCTGGTTAAAGAAATTCTTAAAACTTTGATACTGAATCCAAATGACCACACAAACTTTAGTGTACCATAATATACCTAAACCCAATTTAATTATCTAAAAACTACCCGAAACCTATCTCATATCAAAGTAAACCCCAAGAGCTTTCTGACTGTCCAAAAAATCTCACAAATCAATCCTAGAACCAAAGTTAAAAAGCCTCAAAAAGCAAGAGAAAAAAAAAAACCAAAATGGCCCTACCCAAGTCGTGCACACCACATAGTGCATCGGGCCACACAAGTCGCACAACATGGTCCGCATCGCCCCCTCGCAATCCGCTATGCCTCACACAGCCCAACAGATCCTAGCCTAGCCCATTTTTTTCCAAGATGATTTGAATTAATCAAAGTTGACAAAATTCCAAAAATTTGAGTACTTTGACTCAATCTGTCCCTTGGATCGAACTTATCTAATTTCCCATCTAACCCTCCTTCAAACCATAAGTACCCTGAAAATAGATAGAAAATAGATCAGGGTCCTTGGAAAATTTGAAATTAAAAAATACCCAATAAATACAAAATAACAAGATAAAAGCCTTAGAGAATTCCTAAAAATAAAAATAGAAAGAGAAAATTTCTCAAAACTCCCCAAAAACTTAAAAAACCAAATTTAATATTAAGAGATCCCCAAAACCTTCCATCCTCTTTGCCCTAAAAAAAAACCATAAGTAGACACTACCTAAGATCACATCCTCTTAACTCCATAGCCTTACATCCTCTTTAACTCCATAGCCTTTCTCCAAACCTTAGGTACCCTCAATCTACGTTAAAAAAAGCATCTAAAAAAAAGATGATGGAAGATTCAAACCCAAAACTCCAGATTTCAAATCCATAACATAAGTACTCCTTTTCCTCTATTTAATTTAGTTTATTAGCTTGTTTATCTTCAAATTTTTGTTATTTATTGAATTAATAAAATTTAGAAGTATTTTTAAGCATTATAAACAAATCATAAAGCTGACAGTGACAATGAACTCAAAAAAGAATCAAATATAAATGGATCTATATTGTTTCTAAGTCCACAATTTTAACAACCCCACTCTCACCCTTTTCATAAAAATTAACTTAATTTTGCAAAAAATAAATTCAAAAAGATTCTCTTATCTTGTTTAGATTAAACCTTATTTTATTTGCTTAGATCTTGCTTTAACTTTATATGTTAGTCTAGAAAATGTTTTGACTATATCATGTAAGACTAAACCTTTTTTTTGTGCTTGTCTTGTATAAGTGCTTAAGTTGCTTTTCGCATATGCTTCTTGATCACACTTTAAAATCTTCAATTTTTCAAAAAATCCTACACCGATTATATCAGGTGGAACACAACTTTGTGCATACAATATTGAGATGAGGTAAGTTCTATTCTAAATGGAGGGTGAAGATTACCCCAAACACAATGTCACATCTCTACACTAACTTATTATTTTTATTTTTATAAACTATTTGACACCAAATTGTGAACGACCATTCTGCTATTAAATTCACACCAAAAAAAAATATAAAAAAATACTTTCAATAAAATAAAATGACCAAAATACCTCTAAATGTTTAAAAGTGTATTTTGATCATTATATTTTATCAAAAATTTATTTTTAATATTTTTTATAGGTACACCACAATAAGAAAATGACACATACCAAATTTCATATTCATACAACTTGTATAAAAAAACTAAAAATAAAATACTTCGAAACATCCGATCTAAGATCAAACAATGAATAGCACTCTTGGTTAAAATTTGATAGCTGGATGGTAAAAATAAAATAAAACTCCTATGCTGTAGGGAACGCATAGAAACCTTTCCCATTGAGAGATCCAACAATAAAATCATGTATCTCTCTGCAGAACATCAACCATATATGCAACCCACTATAATGAGGATCAACCTCTTGTAATGCAGACACCTATTTATTGCATAAGGATCCAGCCTTCAAGAACCAAAATCTCATTTCTATTGCATGACATACAGCCTTTTCTTGTTACAACAGTAGTGATTGAGAGGACTAAACTTCCTTAGCCTGAAGTGAAATTTTGTGCTATCAATTCAAAGACAACACAAGAGAAGAAGAGGAAAATAGACTTCCAACCAGTTTTTGGACCTGCATTACTGTATTCATGTTTCAAAGCAAGAAATCAAACAAATGCAGATGTGTAGTTGAGGTTGTATGCATTTATCATCAAGGTCTCAACAGTTGAAAAGGGGAGCACAACAGCTTCTCCAAAAGGTAGAATACTCTGGAGTTTAGAGCCATGTGTAAGTATGAGTATGCCCTAAAACTACTGCCTAATGGCCACACAAAAGACTATGCACACCTTCACCAGAAACAATGTGCCAGTTTCATGCACATAAATCCTTAAAAAGTGCAAGGCCATTAACAATTTAATGGTTTCATGAAATAATTTTTCCCAACTAGACCAATGCACTCTTGAAAAGGGCTAAATGCTATAAAGCATTAACCAGGCTCAACCTACCTCCATGATGCCAACATAGAGCCAAGATTATAGCCATAGATCTGACTGCTCTAAAAACTGCAAAGCAGCTAAATTGCAAGCCAGAGAAGGGGGGCTTTTGTCCAAACAATACAAGCACAGAGAATGTGTTCCTCAACAAACCCAATCATTAAACAAAGGCAATTTGAGCATTAAAAAAAAAAAATTAAATAGCTCATATGAAATGGAAAACTAACAATTCTAATTTGAAAGGGAATCTTTTGACTACTTGCATGCAGTAGTTTGCTCGCTTAGTTCATATTTTCCTTTATTTTTGTTACTATTAAGTATGAATGATTTATTTTATGAATATCCAAAAAGTAAGTTATATCAACAAATGTAATCAAGATTTCTGAAGTAATATTATACATAAATAATTGACAAAAGATCTCATTCAATAAACAAGTTCCAACCCCCAATCATTGATCAACTCAATGAATGAAGTATGCCACACACAAAAAAGTTTGGACCACTAATCAACGAATTAGACAATGAAAAATGAGATTTAAATAAAGTATTTGATGCATCAAGGGAACCATGCATAATAACCTAAGCATTAAACATCTATCTTTAATATCGAGACAAAAAATGGGACCCAATCAAAATCTTAAAACTAATATTCCATAAAAAAAAGTTAGAAAAAAAAACAAATTTAGAATTTTCATAATTTGCTTATTTATTTATTTTCACATACCAGATGCCTAAAATTTTGGATTCAAAATCTCTCTCCAAAATAGATTATGGAGGACAAAAATAAACAGCTGAGTCAGTAGACTCATCAAAACCAAACCCTTAAACAAATGAATTACCAAATTCCCAAACTCCCAAGTTCGGATACCAAATCAAGTGTTCCTAATTCCCAAGGCTCCAATTTTCCAAGGCTCCCAATTTACTCAGGAAAATGGAATGGCAATTATCGACCAAGCCCATAAGAGTATTTCCTATTTTAGTACATGAAATAACATGCCCAATATAAAATTCAGAAACCCACAACAAATCCTAGAGAAAAGACATTTTTACCAGCTCAATATTCAGAAACAGTTCAATAGAGAAATGCAAGGCAAGCTTGGATTATTCTAAAAAGTACACTGGGAATGGTTATCCTTTCAGTGTTTATTTTCTTTTGGAAAAAGTTAGTTAATAAATTTGCTCACCACTGCTATGCTATATTGTATAACAGAAGACAAATAAAATGTGACCAGCCTACTTAAATTACCATAGTTTGCTAAAAGAAAATGTGGAGGTGGAGCCTGGATTTCATGAGAAGCAATGTCATACTCTTCATTGGAGCAGCCTTCCGAATATGAGGAGGGTAGCTCAAGCAGAGAGTATTTTATGGGCTTTATGTATGCACACATAAAATCTGGATGACCACAACAAAGTCAAGTCTCCAGAAGAACTTATGTGCAATCAAAAGAAAGCAACCCCACTCATTATACACTCTTACCAAAACAAAATGACTCTGTGTGAGCTAGTATTGTAAAGAGGACTCTCTCTCTCCCTCTCCCTCTCTCTGAGAGAGAGAGAGAGAGAGGAGGAGAGAGAGAGAGAGAGAGAGCATGATACAATTAAAGAAACACCATTGTTTGCATTATAGATACATGAGAATCCAGTCAATTGAAGACAAACCATTGTTTGCATCATAGAGACATGAGAATCCAGTCAATACAGAGTCAAGTCTTAAGAAGAAAAGAAACAGAAAGGAAAACTACAGCATACAACAAATTACAGGCAAGAAGGTGAAGAATCAAGCAGCCTTCTTTGCAGGGGACTTTGGTGTCTTGGGCTCTTGCGTTTCAGGCTTGTGAGACCTCTTTGGAAGCAGGACAGGATTTATGTTGGGGAGAACCCCACCATGAGGAATGGTGACCCCGGCCAAGAGCTTGCCAAGCTCATCATCATTTCTAACGGCCAACAACACATGCCTAGGAATTATGCGGCTCTTCTTGTTGTCCCTCGCAGCATTACCAGCAAGCTCTAGAACCTGGTGGATTCATACGAGAAGCAGAAAAATAACTTCAGAACTAATGCAAATAATCAATGAAAGAAAGAGAGAGTGAGATGAAACAACAAAACAAAAACCCTTCTTCACAATCAGGCAGAACAAAGAGGGGAGAGAGATGGATCAAAATAAAAATTCAATATTGCCAATCAACTCAAAAGAAAACCAGAGAGATATTAATATGAAAAATCCCATTTTCTCAACCGGTGCAAGCAAACCAGAGAAAGAATTGCAGCACCACAGCTTTCATCCCATCAAAATCATGAATGGGCGATGGCAGAAATGTAGAAGGAAAAAAAGTCAAAAAGAAAAAGAAAAGATACAGTTTTCATGTTTGGTGTACACAGTGAAAGAACAAGATCAACCAATTAATAACACAAGAGTAGACAACCCACCCACCATGTAAATACTGCACCCAATCAAATATTCAACGCACAAATTCCTTGATTCAATCAATCAAATACAGAAGAACAACATACACCAATAAATATAAACTCAGCATTACAAACAAAAACATCATTTTAGGATTCTACCACATTAAAAATGCAAATGAAATAAAACCACACAAGCTTGAGAAATTCACTAGCAACATTTTGTATACAAAAGACAAAACGCACAAAAAAAATAATAATAAATAAATTAATTAAGAGGCAGAATCAAAACCAAACAGAAAAATAAAAAGACCACATCTTAGTGATTTCCAGAAGAACAAAAACAGAAGAAAAAATAATAATAATAACCCAGATAATCAAAATAACCAATAAGATCAAGAGAAGAAAGAAAAAAGCACCTCAGCAGCGAGGTACTCAAGAACAGCAGCTAAATAAACAGGCGCCCCTATTCCAACCCTCTGAGAATATCTCCCCTTCTTCAAATAACGAGTGATCCTACCCACTGGGAACTGAAGCCCCGCCTTTACAGATTTCGACGTTGGCTTCTTTTTTGGCCCTCCTTTCCTTCCTCCTGCTCCCTTCTTCGTCTTTGATGCAGGATCCATCCTCTCTCTCTCTCTAAAAATCTCTCTCTAGGAATTTTTCTTCTCCCAATCTCTTTCTCACTCTAAGAAACCCCTCTCTCTCTCCCTCGAAAACCCCTCTCTCTCTAGAAAACCTCTGTCCTTCTCTCAATGGCCAGGAGATGGATCAAATTAGTGCTTAGAGACCTGTTGAGATGGAAGATATATATATACAGGAGATCGATCAAATTAGTGCTTGGAGACCCGTTGAGATGGAATATATATATATATATATATATATATATATATAGAAAATATACAGCAAGAGGTTGATGCGAAGAAGACGAGGTTTTGACCTTTGGATGAAGAGGTATATAGACGGTGGAAGATTGTCAGTAGTTGATCCACATGGGGTGTAAGTGAGCAATAGGAATTTTTCTTTTGGGTGGACAAAGAAACGGAGAAAAAGAGAGTTTTTATTTGGGGTTTCTAGATACTTGATGGTCCAGGAATTTCTCCTCCCGCGGGAACTTACTGTGTTTTGCTCCCTTGGGGTAAAACTTTTGTTTGGAATATTTTTTGGACCCCAAGTTTTGGGGATGTAGACTTTTTAACCTAATATCCAACATAAAATAAAAAATAAATAAATAATAGGAAAAGTATATAATGAGACCATTTACCTTTGATACAAGGTGGTTATATTAAGCTTGACTATTGGATGTGAAATTTGATGGTTGCAATTAATTCATTCATTGAACTCAAAAGGGTAGAGGCCCAAATCTCCACTAAGGGTAGAGGCCCAAATCTCTACTAACTTATCTATGAGAATGGCTTAGGGCTTTGGCGGTAATATTGCTATGCATCATGATGAGGTCTCTAACTCCATTCTCACCAAAGGTAGGGGCTCAAATCCACATTGCTTACCCCACTTGTACATGGTCAATTTCCATGGAGGTGCTAATTGTTGAAGCAAACTTTCCACTCGTACATGGTCAATTTCTATAGAGGTTACATACGATTTCAGCTAATTGTCGAAGCAAACTTTCCACTCGTACATGGTCAATTTCCCATATTATTCGAGCGTAGTCGTGTTCCATGGAGGTTGCATACGGTTGCAACTAATTATCGAAGTAGACTTTCGATATTTTTCGTGAGACCAATATGGTAGCTGATGCTCTTGCTAAAAAAAAGGTGTGTAGTCATGTTTCACGGAAGTTACATATAGTTACAGCTAATTGTCGAATCAGACTTTCCACTCGTGCATGGTCAATTTCCCATATTTTTCGTGAAGCCAACATGGTAGCTGATATTCTTGCTAAAAAAGCTTCTTTAGTTATGGAGCTACTGTTTGGCGTTCTCAATCGCAATATTTTATTTCTCTACTTTTACTTCATGGTCTAGCGCAATTGCTTTATTATAGGGTTGTAAAGTAATGAATTGCTACTTTCTTATCTTATATTAATAAAAAAACGGGTAAAGGGGCTTCTCCCCCACTAGTTGTAATGAATTGTGACTATCCTGTATCAAAGATAAATAGTCTCATTGTATACGATCCCTAAATAATATGTGAATCAAAAAAATTAATCTCCCAAGGTTGAATAAAAACTGCCTAATTTTAGGAGGATAAGATCTAGGTGTTCAATAACTTTTTTAGTCAATAATTTGTAGAGTACAATTCGCACCTCAAATCTAAGGTTGTCGAATCTGAGCCATGCTTCAAATTCGTTCCGACTCTCTATCAAATCTTTCTTTAATGTTGGCCCTATCTGCCTTGTCGTGGTTCCTTATGCTTCCACGATCATCTTTCAAAGGTCGGTGCCTTGGAGGCATATCCCTCTAACTCCCCATCAACAGCTCAAATCTCATGCCCCCTAATCCTCAAGGGTCTAGATCTCTCCCTTCATGATGCGATTGCTAACAACGTTAAAGCCCAAGACTGATGGGCTCACTTTGCATAAAAACTTCAGCTCTCCCCTTCGTCCATCGTTGAATAAATCAACACAAGAAATCAACACTAGCATTTTAGTGAGAGAAACTCATAGGCCAAGGAAACACTGCCAAAGGCCTCAGAGTCGTGTTTTGACTTACTGTTCTCTGTCGAGTCGTGTTTCGATGCTTTGAAAAACAGCCTTTGTCTCTTTTCTGACATGTGTTCTGGACTGCGAGTTGTTGAATCTGTCTCGGATTGCGAGGTGTTGAATCTGTCTCGGATCCACACCTAGTTCTGTTGGTTCTTCCAAGTGCCATTATGTGCTTGTTGTTTAAGCAATCTGAGCATGAAGATTATTCTTTCTATTGGTCACGCCATACACGTGAAGACTTAAAGATCCAATTCGTTTGTTTATGCAACTTATTATTCAAACTCCAGGTGCTTTGTGTAAAAGCATATTGATTTTGAGGGAGAGTGTTAGCGTGTATATATATATATATATATATATATATATATATATATATATATATATATATAGTATAT